CATGGGAAACGGACCCGATTAATTTTCCGATTGATCGGAATCGGTACCGATCTATAGGCATCAGTTGCCGTTTCCGATTACGATAAAAACTTTGCCGATTCAATCGGAGCAGGTTGACATTCCGATGTTTATATGTGTCATCATCATATTATTTTATCTGATATGTAAAATGAAGCGTGTCAAGAAACCAAGTGATGAAAGACTCGTTTCACTCCAAAGTAATTTCAATCGACTGTACCTTTTTCCTACTCCATATAAAACAAATAGCAATATTGTATGTTCCTGCATGTTGTGTTTCGAGTTCGTTGATTTGATGCGTGCCTTTCGGCGTTTTGCAGAGGTATTTCCCTCAGTCGATCGCAAACACCACGCTGCTCCATAAAATTTATTCTATGAAAATTAAAAGGAGTTAAATATTACGACGCAAAACACCACTGTTCTTCGTTGATACATAGCAAACAAAACACCTTACTGAGTAGTGTGTTCTTTACTCGATACTTTCTAACAATGCAATCCAAAAACACAACCGGAACTCACTTTCTCGAAACACAGCTGGATTCATATAGACTTGTTACAAGTAGACCTCAACGGGTTTCCAAGCGAGCGGAGCGAGAGCAAAACTATGGATAATATAAAACCCCGGGATAAACTTTTACGAAAATTTGCGTGCTTCATTCAACGATCCTAAATGCAAGGTGTAATACGATCTGAGGCAAAAATACTGACCAATTAGATTGCGGCCTCAGATTGTCTCCAGGGAATTAGCAACAAGAACTGAAAGATTCCCACACTCGCGAGTCACGGAAGACACAGAACGAAGTTTCATACAGGAGCTACCAATTTAAAGAGAGAATGGCTTAGCGACTTTGCTGTTCTGTGAGCTTGAGCATGGTGCCACGTGAAATTGCTTTCCACTCTCAGCACTTAGGAAAATTTGCGCTTGACTCTAGGCGGCTGACTTTTTGACAAAAATCAGAACCTTTTTTACCGGAGTGTTCAACTAAAGAAAACAGGGCATACATCCAGTAAGTTCGACTCAGTTTAATAGCGGAAAGAGAATCAAGAAAGAGAAAACCATTTGAACGCCTCCATCAGTCACTTTTTTGAGTTCATGTGCAACCAATAAACAACTTGCAGCCTGATTCTCAGGCGACGTCCTCTTCTCTCCTGTGGCAATTTAGCAGTCAAAGTACACAACATGGTAACAACATTTGCATTTTGGTCGTGGATGTTCTGACTTCTTTCTATTTTTTTCGTTTACAGTCCTAAACTGTTTATTCCTCAAAAAGATTCCTATAATCACGCGTTTTGGGGTTCCGGTTAGCACGGGCCCAAGCTATTTTAAAATTATCATTTTGAGATCGTACACTTGCAATGTATATAGCTTTGTTGAATGACCTGCTGTTTCTTCTCGTGCCCATTTTGATACACAAATTTAATATTTTCTGGTCATACTCTGTCATAGGAAATACAAACAAATGTTCGAAACTGTGACGTTAAATTTCGGTTCAAACAAGACACATTTATAAGAAAGATAAGGTTATAAAAAACAACATTCACGCTTTTGCTTTTGCTTTTGTGATGGGTTATTTGAGCTGCTAGATATTTTTGATGACCTTTGTTAATTGGCCCGATAAAGACTTGAGACCCGCTGCCGATTCCGTTTCATTCGGTGCCGATAAAATCGGGTCCGACCTTCAACGGAATCGGAAAAAATCGGTGCCCAATTGATCGGCATCAGTGTGACCCGATGCCGATATTTGGACGCGTTCCCTTAACAAGTCATAAGCTTGACAGAACTGGAATTGGAGGAATAATTAGACCGTTTCCATTTTCTTTTGACTTCCCTTATGACTCTGTTGCTTACATGCACGTTCTAGTGAAAACCAGATTGTGAGAGTCAGAATTCAAACAGAAGCAAAAGGAAAACCCAATTACAATGCTTGTTCCAATGCCTTGCAAAAATATTGGTTAAGTTCATCTGCTTCTGTGTGCAGACTACACAGTTTTACTACATTGGAGGATTGGAGGCTTCGGAGTTGTAAGTGGAATCAGAATGCTGTTTTATTAGATCAAAATGCTCTATACTTCTGACTTGTTCAATGGGTGGATAACACTATCCATGGGATAAATCTCGATCCAGTCGATAGCACAATTATTGGTTTCCTAGTACTTATCCACAGATAGTGATTCATCCGGTGGATAGCAGTATTTAACATTTGAATGATTGGGACCTTAATATGACTCTGACTCTACTGAAAACCAGCCCTCACTGGGCAAGACTCTAAGCAACACAGTAGCAAATTGGATGCTAAGGACATAGTTTCTTACACTGCCAACAATGCTTTGGATCAAAATCCACCAGCCATGATTTAGGTTCATGGTACACTATCACAACAAGATGGTGCTGCTAATAGCTCTGGCCCCAGTTGTTCAACTAGATAGATCACTACCCACTGGATGATGCAACTGGCTTCCTTAACACGAATCCGCTGGATAGTGATATATCCAGTGGATTTTCGATAGTGCTATCCAACTTTCGAACAACTGGGGCCTGCTCAGTAAATCAACACAATCACCTGATTTGATGATGACCGGCTATATGCGGCAGAAATGTTGGGATCAACATCGAAGCGACTATATACTATCATTTTTCAGTAGTACTTTCACATGTTACTATTCTTACGCCGTATAAACTGGTTCAACCTTTGCAAGCTTAGCCTGTACATGTAGCTGAAACTGTATGTTGCTCTTATGTTCAGGAGTACTTTCGTATGGTTTATGGTACCATTTGTTTATCAATTTATCGCAAAAGTAACTTCAGTACTTCTTTAAATAAATACTTTTGTCATTCCTTGGGGCGAAAGTGACTTTCTTACAGTTTACAAACCTCACCTGAGGATCGATGTCGCGAACAGTACTGCGAGCTTTCGCTGTCAATTGATGAATTAATCCAGCGTACTGAACTGTCGTTGAATTATCCATAGTCGTTCTTATAGGAATTCCTGCAGTATTAACGAACCAACGAACGAAATAAGCACTTAGGAAGCTAAGTAATCTACCCGAATACGCCTTAAGCGAGAGAGTACTTCGCGTATTTTGATACGCGATAAAAATAGATCAAAACAGCTGAGTTTCTCTACCTTCCTGATTGACGATGACTATTCCGACAACGCCTTTATGGCCCTGGATTCTCTTAAGCGATTCTTCGACTTCAGACTGCAAAGGGATAAAAAAAAATTCACGATAAACTATGACTACAGAAAAAGTTCAAAAAGTGAATCAAGATGCCAACCATTTTGACTTCTTCTCTTGTTTTTTGGGAACGTTGCCACGGAACAGTAAAACGCTAGGAATTATGGGACTACACTGAGCCCTCTTACAGACTAAACAGCAGTATGTAAAAAAAGTATGCGCACTTGAATTAAAGTTTCCTGCTGACCTCGAAAGTGCGGGCTCCCACGTTCTAAACAAAATGTCGGGATATGTTGCGGGAAGTTGCGGGATATTGTTGTGGAATGTGAAATGTTGTTTTTGACTACAGTTAATGATATTCTGCTTTTCGTTGAGTTTTCTGACACTTTGGGAAAAGAAGCAATGAGTGGATGTTCATGATGACGGTGGATATCTTAACTGATGGACAGGAATGGTCAAATCACAGTGGTAAATTGATGGCCCAATCTTAATTAACTTTTGACTTTTTAATTTTAACTACGATCTGATTTTTCACATTTACTTAAAGCCAATGAATGTAAAGCATACGTACTAGGCCTGACTGCCTAAAAAATACCTCTTAAGTCAATGAAATAGTATCCCAACTGATGAGCTGAGTTGAGCATATAAGTGGCGTGTCTTTGTCATTGAAACCACAAATTCCTCTTACACTGTTCTAATCAATCTCGACTTTTTTTAAAAAAGTGGTGAATTTAGTCATTAATGGGGTTTATACATAGGTAAATAAACAGAAGTATTTCTATGACAGCCTCACAACCCTACCCTTTACAACCTTACAGTACTACAAGTAATATTTCAACCCTAACCTTAAGGTAATGTGGCTGTTGTAATTTTATAACACCCTCTGAGATCTCCATAATTCTTCGGATGATACAAAAGCTGAATTAGATGATTGCTTTATTATTTATCATTCAAATTATTCCTAGTTTAAAAACAAGCTAAAACATGCTTGCCTCCATCGATGTTAAGTTCATCTTTGATAGTACATGTGTATTGGCAAATTTATTTATTTATTTAATTTTTATCGGTTGTTCAGGTCTGCAAATATTCTCCAAATACAGTGCTGTCAACTCTCCTGGATAATCTGGGAGACTCCAGCTTTTGGAGTGTATCTCCCAGTCTCCAGATTAGAGCATGAAATCTCCTGGATAATAGCTGAATTTTGCCATTTCTTCAGTGATCCTCAGTAGACTTGACTTTCCGACTATAAATTTTGAACTCTTTTGCATTGTTTGAGCTGTTTTAATGTTAACATGGAGCATTTCCTCATAAAAAACTCCGGTATGCCATGACAGCAATGTGATTGGTAAGAAGCAAGCCAATCAGGTCATATGTTACAAGGCAAAAACATCTTTTTCGCATGTCTTGGCTCACTGCAAATTTGTGACGATTGGAGAGTATTTTAAGTTCAAATGACATCATGTGCTATGCGTTATGACGTTATCTACCATCCCTCCCCTATCAATTCTCAATATTGATTTTGAATACGTCCAGGGTTGACAGCCCTGCAAATTGCAGATGTCATCCATTGAGTTGTCTTCTTGCTGTTCTTGGTATGTTTTTAGCCAATAGTTTGCCTGCAAGTGCTTCTTTCTTGTGAAATGGGCGAAAATGTTTTGCCTTTTGTAGTCGCCACCAAAACAACTCATTCTTGTCCCCAGGTCTATCTTGGTTAACGGTTCAATAATCTGGCAATTTTGCTGCACGATTGACGTCATTTTTTACATATGGCAAACTTTTTTATTTACTTAAGCTTACAGATGTTCAAGATTAATCACAAACGTGCTGTCCCAGACAGAATTGCGCCTTATGTTGAAACATGTCAATGCTAAATGCAAGTTTTTCTGTCAATCAAATGTCTCCTATTATTTGGAGGTGACAAAAAAAATACCAGAGAGATCAAGTTATGTGTATATGGTCTTAAAGCGCGTTGTGTGACTTTATTCCATTACAGCATTTCTCATAACTTTCCTGCATTAAGAGGTTGGAATGAAAAGTGTGAAGCAAAGCTTAAAAATCTTGATAGTCAAAATCAACAGTGTGCCCAAAACGGCAAGCATCTGAGAAATCAAAGGTGACATTTTTTTCTCCAGTAAAATCCACCAAAGGCACAAAATGTTAGAGCATATAAAATGTTAGGACATTAACTTAAGGTAAAAAAGTTGTGTATGCATGAGCACACCTTTCTGCTCAAAGTTTAGGATCAAAATAAAGAGACTATGAAAGATTTCACTATTAACGACAACACAGACACTAGTACTAATGGTTATCCATTTTAGGGAGATAGCTATTCATCATCCATTTGAAAGCTATTGAAAATCCGTGCAAAGTGTTTGACAAGGTGTTCAGTTGGTTAGAATGGTTATCTGTTTCTACATTATTAACATCTGTTCAAACCATTTATAACCATTCATTAATGATTGGCATACGTTGTTCATTCAGCAGGGCTTCTTATATTTCGTGCGGTCGTGGAGCCTCGAAATTCAGGTAAATCCGCGAAATCCCGCGAAATTAACAAAAACACACACAAAATACCGTGAAATTCGGTAGAAATCCTATCAAATACGTGTCTGTACAGCAATTTTGAAACTTGTCTCAGCTACTGGGGCACTAGCCATGATGTTAAAGGCTTTGCCATTGGTTCATTCCTGGAGCGTATTTTTGTTGAAAGAGCAAATGATGACCTCTGTTAGAAAAACATTGAAAATGCTGGTCTGATCAGCGCAAAACCGATCGATTTTTAGCGAATTTTGCCCTAAAAATAACCACAAAATCCGCCATTTTTTTACCAATTGCTTTCTGGCCAAGTTTCCCCCGAAAATTCCCATGAAATTCCCGCAAAATTGGCTGATTTTTTTCGCAATTTTGTCCCTAAAAATCCAGCAAAATTTGACTTTTTTTTTCCGCGATCTATCAGAAGCCCTGATTCTTAGAATCATTTAATGGTCCATTTTCTTCATCATTATCTGACATCATCATCATCCTCATCATTATCTCTGACAACCCTACGCCATGCAGCATAAATTTTAAGTCCAACCAAAAGGTATTCCTTGAAGAATTCAGGCCATGCCAGGAAAATATATTTTATCTCATAGTGAGCCTTGTTCTTACTGCACCTTATGCAGTTAATAATGGCATTACGCTGATTTGGCCAAGAACCAAATCAGAAAAAATAAATATACATACCTACATGTATAGTACTGGAAGAGTCTGAGGATTGTCAGCTGAGTAACAAAGGAACATGGTTCACTATAACAGACGTTTTAACAAACTGATCACAATTTTCAATTGCAAATTTTTAAAACATCAGAGTCTTGCTTATTTGTGAAAGCAATCTCCTTCCTTTTTTATTTTTGTTACAAAGTGAAAATGCTGTTAAATATTTAGTAAGTCCTATAATTTATGTATGATACAGATTTTGTCTTCACCTCAAGTTTACTGATATTATAAATTATACGCTCGTTTATTGCACAACTTCCAAATATTACGTACCATGTGTATGTAAACGTTTATTGAAGAACTGTTTAAATTTGATGCAAATTTGTCAAGTACATTCTTCTGGGACATGAACTGATGTCATGGAAACAAAATTAAAGCTGATTTAGTTATATTACTGTAGCTTTCAGCAAACAATTTTGGGCCTGTCACATGACACTTAACAGTTATGTATGTACATTGTAACTGTAAAATATTTAAATACTCCTCAGTTTACTGAATAATGATCTCCAGTCAGCCATTAAAATCAGTTTTGGAACAATTTTTTTTGAAACTCGGCCAACATGTGGACACAACAATGAAATAAGCAGTTTCACTGATTATGCTTGGGTTATTTTAAAACGTTCTGAATGTTATATTTTCTAATACCTGGATCAACGTGGTTTATAATAAGTGATGTATAAGCACAAATATCATAACACAAAAGGGAAGCATAAAAAAGGTAACAAAAATGTCTAGAAAATACTGAATAATAATATATTTTCGTATGTTGTTATGTTTAAGGAGATAAAAAGTAGTGTGTGGTGCAGTAAGTACTGTATGTGCTTTGGTGGTATCTGAATTCTTGACTCAAAGGCTTTCTTTTGTTTTACTAATCTGTTTAAAGTTAGCGTGGTCATCATAATTAATCGCATGTTATAGGAAGATCAAAATTACCAATAATTTTTCTTTGCAGCAAAATTTATATCATTTGATGAAGCTGAGAGTACGTTAAATGTTGTTTTGTTCTTTTAAGGAACTACATCATCATTTCTTTGACATAAATTTTTTGAATTTTCATTTCTAACCTGTGTTAACTTGTATTTTCTTCATCCTGGTAAACCATTGGTTTTCTTAAATGGAGAAATTATAAATTTCAAACTTTATTTGAAGTTATTTTTACTAACATTAATTTTTATGTAATCAAGTGAGAAAAGATTCTCTGTAAGCACCAAAGACTGCTATAAGGGCAACTGTGAAATTGGGAAATAATGTATTTTTTTCATTAGAACTAAATTTATTGCTTACACTGTGTGGTTACAATGTATTCCACCAAGAACCAGTACCTTTGAGTTGAAATGTTACCATAGACTTTGAAAATGAAAAGTTACAACTGAAGCTTTATTTTTCTACAAGTAGCATTTTGTCAGAGCAATAAGTAATAAAAAAAGTATTTTTGTTTTAAAGCAGACTGAGCTGTTTCTTATATATGTATTATAATATTATTTGAAATACTTGCCAACTCGAAGCCTGTCTAATCTGTCATGTTTAATTGAAAAATTAATCCATTGACCAGTTTTATCTTGTCATTTAAGTTTGTCAGTGCTATACATTGATTTTGGCACTGTTCAGCAACTGCAGCACTTGTCACTTTTGTATAATTATACAATAGTTTCAAAACAATTGTTGGAATGTGGCCTGTAGATTAACTCCATTTCATTGACAGCATAAAAATGTTTGACTTCAATGTTGAACTCAAACTGCATAGGAGGTCAGAAGTGTTGGGAACTCTCCAGTGATATCAGTAAAACTTAAGTGACTCCCACTCCAAACAATGTTGACTTGTGAACGAAATGGATGGAAATGAGTCCTTTTTTGTGCACAACATTGCTGGGGGGGGGGGAGGGGTTAACGAAGGGATGGTCCCAAAGCTTATCAAAACATTGTTGCAACATGTAGGCCAGAGCAGAGTCCTTTGTAAAACTTTTTTGAAAGGGTTTTTCCTGTACTAAGTTCTTTTGACCCCCTCAAATAGAACAGGATTCGGAACTGATAAGAAGTCAGTCTCTGAATCCACATTTTGTGAAAACCTTTTCTGTGTATTTTAATTTGCACTCATGATTGTAGTTCAGCAGTCAAAAAATTACATCACTGACAGCTCAAAGTTAATACAGTTGTGTGAATTATATTATAATATTCAATTTCAAGAATTGATTTTTATTTTGTGCAAATAGGTGGATCTGATGCTGAGTACGATGAAGAAAGTGAGCTGTTTGAGCAGGAATGTGATGTCTTTATGAAGGATTTTGTGGCAAAAATCTTCTTAATCAAGTAAGTTACTTAGCTTCCGTGTAACTCACAAGGATATTTTTTCTGAGTCACCTACATTGACATTCCAGCCCATTGAGCATGGTGGATGTTTGTCACATGAACCTTGTTAAATGGTCCGAGCTCCATATCTAGACTTCTTCTTTATTGGTCTTTAATACTTAGCTCCATAGAGTACTAGAGTGATGACGTCATAAAAATGGAATTTCTGAAATTATGGGATTTGTCAGGATATTCTGAAAGAACAATGTCCAAGAGGCCTACTTACCAAAAATGAGCATTTTGGGGCAAATTGTCTCTGAGATGTTAGCCGGTTATACTCAGAAAACTCCATACAAACCCTTCTAATTTTTTTGGGGGTCGACCCAAAAAAATTTAGAAGGGTTTGTATGGAGTTTTCTAAGCATAACTGGACTACGATCTCAGGGACAATTTGCCCCGAAATGTTCATTTTTGACAAGTACATTGTAGGCCTCAGAAATTTCATTTTTATGACGTCACACCTTAGTACTCTATATCTAGTCTTCTGTATGTAACTCATTTCAGTGGTAGAGCATGTAGAACAGTAGATCATTCAGCAGGGTTGTCAGAAGTAGTCGGCTGCTGGAGAAACTCGCCGCCTAGCCTGAGTTCATGCCCTCTCCTTATTATCCCTTTATGTCTCTCACGGGAAGAGGGCATGATACATTTCTTTGTCGGATCACATGTAAAAATGCCAGAATCTGGATTTTTTTCTGATTGGATAGGAAACAATGCGGATGATTTGCGCCGTTCCGATTGGCCAAAATGACGCCATCCGTTAGTTGTTGTTGATTTCAGTCTGCATTTTTGCTTGCGTAATAAGCAGTGAATACACACGCGAGTTCGTTATGAAATTTCTGCCCGCTCAGTTTGCTTGAATTTGAAGAATGCCTAAATAGAAGTTTCATCCATTGAAATATTTACCATCTCATCGTATACCAAAACAGTTGCAGTCAAAACTTCACCGATCATTTGAATGCAATTTGATACCGGCTACAAGTTACAGAAGCGACAAACGGGTTCACTTTTCAAATAATCAATTCATGAATGGAATCTTGACCTGGTTTGACTGTATTTCCTCCTTCAGAAATCATGCTTAATTATTCTGAGCGATCTTTCGCTTTCACAACACCTTTCAGTTCGTAAAATATGGTGCTTCAGCCTAATTTTTTTCCACTGCTTTCGGTACAGAACGAAGTCAACAAGCTTTAACCAGTAAGTTCTTTATTATTTGTAGCTATTCATAAAGGTACGACAGCTCCAGCTAGCAGTATATTTCATCACAAAAACAACACATTTTTTTTTTTTTTACTTAAGCGCCATCTGAACACGGACGTATTTTAAAAATTTTTTTTCCTAAAACTGATTTCAAAAGAGACATTATTCGCGCCAAAATTTGATTCCCGTTTGGTAAACGCTTATTGGCTAAAAAACATGACAGGTCAAGCAAACGTTAGATTATGTAAATTAGGGGGCGGTTGACTGCTTGTTAAATAAATGTATCAGGCGTTATTTTTTTCCCTCTCGAGCCAAAGAAGCAAAAAAAAAAAAAAAAAAAAAAAAAAAAAAAAGACGCCTGATCTCAGCTTACTCGCCGCCTACTTGGTTAGTATCGACCGGCTACTCTGCTTGGCATTTCATTACAGATGGTGTTTTTTAAATAAAATATCCCTGGACTGGCCACTTACTTCGACAAGTCAGCTGTCTAGTTCAAAACTTTCTGACAACCCTGATGCAGGGTAGGTTCAACTCCTGTTGGGAGAACTCAGATGTTTTTTCTGATTTGCTTGTGTCCCTGACTATAAAAATAATACCCTATAATAACTAATATGATATTATGCAATACAGAATACTTGATGGAAAGTTTCTTAATAATTTTTTGCTTAACCTTCACTAGACTAATCATTTCCTTGGAAAACCACTGAAAAACTGAACTGTTTCTCTGAATTTAGAATTAAAGCTGTTATCATTTTGTTTGCAGGAGTGATATTTCTCAGGAAGATAAACTGAAGTTTGGAATACTAAATCAGGTTTTTCATTATCACTTAAATTTATAATATTTATTACTCACAGAACATACTTTTCAATGTTTTTTTCATGTTATTCCCCTGCAATACAAATTTACTAATTTCATTTTTTTTTTGTTCCTTTGTAGCATAGTGCTGGGCGTCTTTCATTTGCTAAGCATGTTGACAACCAAGTAAGTTTTTATGTCTGAAGCCCATTTCCATACTGATTGTCACTTTGATTTCTTGGGTATTTTAAAACAGTCCAGTGATCTGAATGGTCACACCAATCGGACATACCGGTACTAGTAGTGATCAGTGGGGAAGCAAGTGCTAGGTGTATCTAGGTGCTCTTGTTGTTCTAAAGTTGGATGGCACCATTCACTGGATACAAGTATAATAGTGTTATCCAACTTATGAAGAACAGGGTCCTGAAGTGTACCTGTTACATGTTTAATAGTTAACAAGGATTATCGGTTCGTGAATGGCCTTCCATGTGGGAGGTTTCAAGTTCAATTCCCATGTGTGACTTTGAACTCTTATTTCGGCTATTCTCCTTTTTGTGTAGCTTTAAGTATTTGCCTGTAAAACAGGGCACTGATGGACAGAGAGAAAATGGGTGGGGTAAGGTCGGGGGAGGGGTGGGGGGTTGAGCACACTGTCAGCCTCAGTTTTGTCAGTCTAATGTGTACTGTTATGATTTACCGAGTAGACATAAAAAAGGGACCTTTGCCTTTACTTCAGGCTTCATAGAATGATAGCCTTCAGGGCCCTGTTTTTCAAAAGATGGACCATGTTTTCTAGACCCAAAAAAGACCCATCCATTTCTCTGGGACAAATACATGTAGACTTTCTTGCTGGTCAAGTAATAAGTCCCCTTCCAACGGGTGAGGGTCCAAGTTAAGTCATCTCGTAACTAAAATACTTTTCAGTAAGACAAGCAAGCCATGGTCCTAAACGAAGAGCAAAATAAGAGAGCTGATTTCATTAGTCAAGAGCTATTTTCTGTAAGACTGGAGAAAGCTGTCAATAATGGCAAAATCATGTTGTCAAGTTCGATTTTTAGAGGAACTTTGCTTTTGTTTATGACACCGCACCGGTACATTCCTGAGAATTTCCTGTCTGGTTTACTAATGCGCGTCCAAAATATTATCTTTTCCAAACAGAGAGTATATTTCAAGAGCGTTCCAGAAACCATTTTCTTCAGGCTTGTGCAGTACTTTGCAATTGTCTTATTTGAGTAAGTATATGACATGGATTGTACTACAACTTTACAACTAGAAAATCTTTGATTGTGCCTCCTAAAAGCCTAGCTTGCTGAGGTCATCAAAAGATCCCTCAAAAGTACTTTTTTGTTGATTAAATTTCTACTTAGAGTCTCTAACTAAGTATTTGAGGATTCCAAAATGGGAAACAAAATTTTAATAGTCAAAAATGTTAACCGCCTCCACCCCTTACGAAATTTGGGATTGGCATTATGAGCGGGACACGGGAATTGGCAATTTTATGTAGCGCGAATCGGGAAGTGTTGTTTTCTAGAGCTGCGATTTCTTTTTTCGACTGAACACAAACTTTCCACTATCAACGGCTTTTAGTGTTGTGACTGTGGCTACAGTTTTCAGTATCCGACTAATCTGTTTCTATGTTTTCATTTGTAACGCTGAGTTAACTGGACCCGCTGTAGACTTTGAGCAGTCTCTCTTTTGCCCGAAAATCTATTTGCGAGTGCGATATATATGTGAGAATGGAAGCGGCAAAGCCGCGAGCAGCGTGTTGTACGGGCGCCAGTACTGAAAATTTGTTTCTGAACACTGAAGTGTTTTGGAATCGGGTTTAGCCGATGAACATCCTCGGACTCACGAGACTGAATGAAAAGTCAGTCTGTATGACCGAATTGAAAAATTCCATTGGCCCGAACTCTCGTCTAGTAATAAAAGTAGGGTACCTTCCCAGAGTATATAATCTCTCTGTGTTCTAAAAAAAGGGAGTGGGCAGGCAGGTTTTTACTTAGGGTTAATTTGTGTTGTAGGATGAGGAGAAGGGTACGAACTTTAAGGGAAAGTGGAGCCGGGGGGGGGTGGGTGAGGTTGGCGCTTATTCATTAGCCTGCGAAAACAGCTGACGGCACGTCCTTAGCGGCCAGAAGCCAGGAGAGACGGCTGTTTTCGCAAGTTAACTGATTATTCAAGAATTTCTATTTACTGTACAGATAAAATATATAGGTGCTGTGCTTTACGTATAGAAAAAATAGTTGGTCTCACCTTTTTCTTTGCGATACTGTTTGTAGTTGACTTCTTTTCCTGAAAAATTAATTTTTAGGTGAACACGAGCAAATTTAAATTAAGTAGACCGTTAGTTTAGCCTCTCTCTCTTCTGAACGAAAATTGGAAGCAACATGGCAAATATCGAGCGAAGCGAGTATTTATAGTAAAACCAGGGCCAAGAGGCTGAATTGGCTTTTTGGAAAAACAGCTCTTGAAATTGAACAACTATCTTGTATTTTGATACCGCCGTTACAAAACGCTTTATGCGCCGATACTTTGTAGCACGTTTTTCGTGTGTATTTTTTTTGTTACTGAGTACCTTCCTGCAAACCCGCGTGAGGATATCGGGGTTTCCATTTAAGGCCGGAGGTCGGACGTTTCGTCTGGTTGTTTACCAGGCCATGTCCGGTACTTTGATGCCATTTTGCATGTGTCCGTTTTTGTTTCTGTTTGTTTGTTTGTTTTTTTTACTTAAGATTTTTTTACTTAGCCATGAAGCGTTTGTCTTAGGAATATCAACGCTAAAACAAAACGTTAACTGCTAAAACTTTACCCTAATTATTCCAAAATCAAGAAACAAATCTCCTGTCTCTAAAATTGTGGAAACAGCATTTGTGAGAGTTTTAATCCCAAAATTTTTGTGGGGATCACTTATGCCTTTTTCCGCGCTCGTAGTCTGCCTTACAGCGGAAAAGGGGTTATGTCTGGTTTGTGACTGGTACTTTAACGAACAAATTACATAAATCGGTTACGTTTGAAATCTGTCGAAAACCTTTTGATATCCTGTAATTAGCCTGCAGTGCTGGTTATTTCTTCGTCCAGCGGTATCGTTATTCCGTTATTTCCTGCAATTGCAATTTGTACCCAGAGTCTTCTGGCATTTTCCTCACCAAACAGTAGAGGACTAGGGAGAGTAGAAGGTGCGTTCACCGCGGTCAAACGTCTAAATTTTTGGTTGTTTTTGTTTTTTTGTTTTAATTGCTGGAATTCCATTGACCATTAAGTGGAAATTTGGGCAAAAATGTTCAGAATAATTACTTGACGTACTCTATTTTCATTTTTCTAAAAATCTTGAGTTTCCTTTGCGTTGAAAACGCTTCGAGACCGAGTGAAATTACGCTGGCAATTTGCGCCGACAATAGCACCATTTTCAGTTTTCAAACAATTGGAACTATTTTTATTAAACTTCAAAAAGTTTAGTAAATCAACAACGTATAAGTCAATTTTTCAACATTCAACAGTGAAAATAACCGTAGCTCGAAAAAAATTTCTTTCATTTTGATTTGACCGCTGTTACCATATAATGTAGCTCTTTTTTGTTATTAAATTACGTTTTTATTGAGTTATACAAATTGAAAAGTGCCGCAATATAAAAGAAAGTAAAGCTCTGTTTTTACTAGAGAAAAGGCAAGGGAAAAAAATATTACAAGGATCAGTTCATTCCTTATTCATAAGATGGGCATTTTTGTATTAAATCTGCTTGTTCTTACTTACCCCGTTGCTGGTACGAACTCCTACTCTTGTAGCGCTGGTTTCCTAAAAATAATACCACAACAGTAAGTTAACCTGCGTCGTTTTAGTATGAAAACTAGTCAAATATTTGAATAAATGAGATGATGATATTGTCCAAAAGCCTACCCCTTAGTCCCACCTTTTGCGGCAATTTGCCAAACAAAGATAACTTTTTTGTTCGTCAATGTAGTGTTGAATACCCGGTTGACCAAACTCTAGTTTTCATTTATTTGAAAGGTGTTACATCTCTTCCTATTCTTTAATTTGTGCCTGCCGTTCAAATACTTTTTTTTTTCGAAAAATATTTCGCCCAGATGAAGCGTAAATATCGGATGACGGGATTTTTTGGCATTGGTATAAACATAACGTTGTCTTCCTTTCTAAGTGGCCGAAGATTCATTGTCTTACCGCCTCTTTGAGGTCTTTAAGATGTCCCAAAG